AGAAGGATTGCTAGTTAGGGATTCCGGATCCGGAATCGTTGCTTGCAATTCCGGATCCGGAGTCGCTTCTTCCAATTCCTGATTTTCGCGGAATTCCGTGGAATTCCTACTGATTCCGTATCAATTCAATTCCGGAAATTCCTCAGCGGAATCGCTCGCTTGTTCTACGCACAATAGCCAATGTTGAGGGTGAGGGCTAGAAGGAATGTCAGCGAGCAATTCCGGAATCTAGCCAGGTAATTCCGGAATCAGTCCGGGTAATTCCGGAATCAGTCCGATTAATTCCGGAATTGATGCGATTAATTCCGGAATTGATGCGAGAAATTCCGGAATTGATTGTAAGTGGGGTTGATCCGATTCCGGAATCGGTGGAATTAATTCCGGGGGCGGAATCGATGCCGCAATGTTCAACATCGCGGAATAGGATGTATTCTCTGAATATTGGTGTATAGTATGCAAGGATATTCACCGCTATGCACCGATATTCACTGGTTAGCGACTAATACGAGTTATCGGTTGATACTGGTTACGGGTGGAGCAGTTACAGATCTGTACCGGTTATCCACAGAACGGCTTCTAGTCGCCTACCGTTACTAGCTGATCGATTATCATCACCGTTGCATCCAAAGGGGAAACAACGGACTCTGTGCCATTAGAATTACATAGAATTATTGCAACCACCTGGAATCAATAGAGTCATTGGAACTAACAAAAGCACTTGGAATCAGCTGTTTTTTTTCGGCAATTCTTTGAGGACGTCTCTAATAGTTCTTTATTTTCATTTGAATGATATAGAAGATAATTCTATTTAATAATAAAAGTCAATATTAGAGCTCGGAAGTTATCGTTGTGTTTCCAGTTACTGAGTGACAAACAACGAGAAATAGATGAGTTCATCAAGGAAAAGCTATTTTTCAAAAATCACGATACTTTATAAGTTTGGTCAAAGCTTATCGACGTCAAAGAATCTGTATTCCCATCTTATTTCTTCAGTTAGATGGATTCCAGAAAAGGTTTTCTCCACTACTGTAAGAAGAAAACATAGTGATGTTCAGACCATATGGAAGAGGACCGCTCCTAACTCCTCTGATCGGCTAAGACAACACTATGTTTCGACCTCATCATAATGGAGAAAACTCCGTTCGAAATATGAGTGGTGAAAGAAATATTGTTCGACGAGAATTCCTCGATTTGAAGAATTTCCAGTAGAAGCATTGTCAAACAGCCTATTTTCATGAAATAGAATTTTCTTGACGAGACAATCCTAGTCACGAATTTTCTTCTTACTAACTATCTGGTAACTTAACGGTAACTTTCCTATCCCATATCTACATGACCAGAATCATTGAAATTACTGGAATTACTTAGAATCAACTGTTTCTCCCTTGGTTGCATCCCTAATTATATTCAGTTGATTTTAAGATTTTTTCAATTGTGTTTGCGTATTCTACTTCCTAAAACTTTCAGACGCAGGCGCTGGGAATCGGAAGGTAGTGGAGATCACTTTTCTTGCTATATACTTCAACGCACATTATCAATTGTGCTTCAAAAAAAAAAGAACAGATTCGTGTTATTTCGAAAGAGAAATAATGTCGCATATTATAATAATTAAATCTTTTCAAAATAAACTATGGAGAAATAATAAATCCATGTCGAGAATATGGTGCAACTCAATGTTTAAGATAACTACATGTCTGCAAGAAATCTTGTTTGATTTTTAATCTGTGCGATACAATCGTCTCTCCAATAGTGTTCTATACAACGGTCAGTCTAAAAATGTATTATTTGTAAAGAACAAGTTACAGACGTTCACGAGGAAGACATTTAAACTATGACAAAAGCAGCCTACCCGCAGATAATAAAAAAGAAAAGAGTTCTACTCAGTCCGATAAAGTCGACAAACAAACGCGTCTTTATCGGTTGAAATGTGCGTTTTTTACCAATCTGACGACGACGATACCCACTAAGTTGCTTGTTAAAAAAACAAAAAATGGTTTTTATCCCTCTGTCAGCGTAAAAACACTGTTTTTTTTCTTAAATAAATTTTGTCTGACTCGGACAGAATGGAGAAAAGATTGTTATTTTTATGACTGAATTTCTTTATTACGATCACTGCTTTTCATTCTTTCTTCCAATTCAAAGGATCATTTTATTTTCATTTCTGAAAAAAATTGTAGAAATGATTGCAAGCAACGATACAAATCATGGTCATAGTACTGAGGATCGATCCGATGTGTGAGTTAATTTATCGAATAGAAATGCATACATTTTAAACCCGACATCTGTCTTCAATATTGAATATCTTGTATCTGTAGGAAAATCGGGGAAATGAACATTAATACGTCTCTCACCTATCGTCTTGACGAAAGCGACTTACTCGATGTCCTGTTCACTTCCAACGCGAATCATATGAACTTGATTGATCATCTATTGGGTTGTGCCTATGGACAAGCGTTGGGTGATGCTTATGGTCTATCAACTGAGTATCAGAAACGTTGCGCAGTGGCGGACACTTATCCAGATGCGACTCAACTGATTCCATTTCCGAATTATGTTCAAAGTCAGCATTCTGGTCGATGGATACGTGGTGATTGGACGGATGATACAGATCAGTGGTTGTTACTCATGGAAACATTGAGCGAACACGATGGTGATGTGAAAATCTTTGCAAGAAAATTGAATATGTGGATTCGACATGGATTTCCTGAATTGGACGATTTCGGCGGTTTAGGATTGGGTGTCAATGTAGCTAAGGTAAACTCGTTTTTTGTTCTAGAAAAATAAAGTACAATTGCACTACACTTTCATTTTGATTTCGAATTTGGATTGAATGACGAAGAACCTTGTAGGAAGAATACTTGTCAATATTACGATTTTTATTATTTAACAGGTTGTTCAAACAGAAGGCTTCTATGAAAATCCATGGGAGGCTAGCCGTAACGCTTGGGAGAGCACCGGAAGACAAGCAGCACCGAATGGTGCTGTTATGAGATGTTCTGCATCTGCTGTCGTCCATTACAATAACATTGACAAGGTAAACTTAGATCAAAGTTGCTAGGATCTTTAGATTTTGACCATTGAACGAAGTTGTATGTTCATCACAAACAAACTGACAATATTATATCATACAAAGATCAGTTGAGATATTTCTTAGTCATTTTTATTGGTCATTTTCAGATGAAATCAACAGCTATTCAAATGTGTCAAACGACTCATTTCGATCCACGATGTGTCGCATCATGTGTAGCAGTATGTCTCGCCATTGCTTACATCATTCAATCTCCTGACGATGATCTAGAATCACTCATTGGTCGCGTTCAACAAGAGACCTTGGCCACATTAGGTGATGCTCTGTTACCAATCTATCGAGAAGAATTCCTCTGGTATACCGGTCAAGATCGAACCTTGGATGATCTTCGTCTCGACGATGACAAGGTCATTGGTTATACTTTTAAATGTTTAGCTGCTGGTTTCTATGGTTTAAGATCGACACGTTCCTTTCAAGAGACACTGAACGATCTGATTCGGCAGGGAGGCGATGCCGATACCAATGGAGCTGTATGTGGGGCAATGTATGGCGCAAGACACGGTTACAAAGCATTGCCTTCCGAATGGCTCCGGGCAATGCCATATAAAAAATGGTTCGATAGAAAAATTCTTTCGCTGCTGAAGCGCCAGAATTTAACATAAAGAATGTGATTATATTTCATATGTCATCAAATTATCGGTGAACTCATTCATATCCCATTCGAGATAACTATACTTCTCTCTATTTTTCACATTTCAAGATGATCGATAATCTTAGAGTGATTCATATAATAATCATAATAATAAAAAATTTTAACGTAATCTGTTCACAATTAAAATGTGAAATACGATGGAACTACTTAAACTATGGCAGAAGAGCTTAACTACTACTATCATTGTTTTCGGAGGCCAATGTGTAGTACCTCAGTAAGCAAGCAGGGTGTAGCTCACTTTTCTCTCATGACACTTGAATATTTATTCCCACTTGTATTGCATAAAAGCCCATAATACAATAATTAAAAATCCATAATATCAAGGTTCAAAAATCAATAATAACATGGTCCAAAGACCAATATTACTACGTCATGTGTCTGTCATGATCTATAGAGTAGGAGGGAGTTCACTATCCTTGCTATATGCTTCTACATTCATTACTATAGGTGAAGCATTAAGTTGAATTTGAAATTAAAGATTAAAGTATTCCTTTGTCTCTAACATCACCGATAGATTTCAGGTGTTTTATGGTATGAATTTTAATCATGAGAAACAAGAACAATACTTCAGTATCACATGCTTTGTATTCCGAAAAAAAATTTGAGCGCAATCTCTATGGAATTCAAATGTAGAATACGATGGGTTCGTTCAGCTCGTGAACGAAAGCCCTTCCCGCGTTGACCATAATATAGACTAGGATGTGGCAGACTAACATGTTGAAATGACTGTTAAGATTTGTGAATCTAGAAAAGTCTATAGATTCTGTCTGTCTGTCTATCTGTCTCTCTTTCACGTTCGGTGATGTAGCTGGAGAAAGGGGGTGAGGTATAACTTTTCTTGCAATCAACTTCAACGTTCATTCCACATCGTGTTTCGCAAAAGTTATCGGAATTCATGAAAATATCTCTAATTCGATCGCTCGAAGTTATCTGCATTTTTGTCGAATCATTTGATCAAAATGTGTCTTAATACATATTCAGATTTATTACTAAATTGAAATGAAATGTAATCTTTATCATTTCTAGACGGACGAACTGTTCTATCACTCTTAGTCTATGAGGTATGACATGACTAATGAACATGTTCACTAGTTCCAACTCATTTTTCAAGAAAATCGGCTATTTGAATCTTATTCACTTTTTTGTGGATCGTCTTTTGAGTTCTACTAAAAGGAGTAGATCTGAAAACATAGGAAACTTGCTTTAAGAATTGCCTGACATCTACTGATGCAGAACAAGAGAAATGATTATTTTTGTAAAAATACGGCGTTTGAAACTACACATTTTAGAACTATTGTAATACTGAGAGTATATGGTTTTCCATTGATTTCTTTCGGGAGGTCTTAGTTATGTGTTTTGTAAAGAATCAAACGACGCATCTTCTAAAAGAAGAATATTGCGATCCATCGAAATACGCCAAAGAGAAGTCAAACATATTACGAGACTTATTCTTTTTGTGTTACTCATGACATCAGTTAAATGATGCAAAATGAAAGACTCATTTTAACTTCATCGTAGTTGTTTGCAAAGAAAGAAATGATTTCTTTTTTACATGCTCCAATTCGGTCCAGAAAATTGGTTTGTTGAATCTACCTTCACGAATTCATTTCACGAGTGAATGCAGAACAAGACTTCACCTTTACAGATTGTTTATTTAGTGTTCCATACAAATTGCATCGCTTTCAAACATTTCGGTTTGCAAAACGCATTATGTTCTTGTATTTTATTTGTCATTTTCATGCAAATATGTGATTTGATCATGAATGAGAATGGTTTTAAAAGTTCGCATTTGAGGTCAATAATAAGCTCGAAAAGAAAATCGTTTACATCGTTCTTTCAAGATTTCGCTGAGCTTACTATGTTAAATTATGTTCGAACTGAATAGGAATGCGACAACCTTACGGCTAGAACCATGTTCCAATTAAACAATTTTATTGATAAAATAGAACAAGAGCACTGTCTTGGATAGATATTTGATATAGTAAAAGAAAAAAATAATCTACATTTGTTAGCTGCAATAATTCATTTATCATTGAAGCCGTGTCGAGAACAAACAAGAAGAGAATGTTGTATTTCATATGCGTAGGTGGGTTGTGTGAACAGAGAATTGTTTCATAAAGACGCTACTTATTATAATGTGACAAAGTGCATTTTTATTTACTATATATTTCAATGTTGATGTTACTTTCTTTTGAGTGTCCACTTTGTTTGTTCATGAAGTTTCATGATGATGCCATTTTGAAAGGCAGAGAAAGAGAAAGAGAAAAAAAAATGAAACTCAACTAAAAGACAGAACTCGTCGTACAATTCATTCGTTTCTACATTTTCATTTCAGCAGTAATCCTCCTACTCTCTAACAATTTATCACATTTACATTATTCAAAAACAAAAATGGCTAGTCGTTTAGTATTGTGTATTATTGCCATCTTCATTCCACCATTAGCTGTCTATCTACATCAGAACACCTGCAATAGCAGAGTCCTTCTCAATATACTTCTGACCATTCTCGGCTTTATACCTGGTCTTCTTCATGCCTTATTCGTCATTCTTTAATACAGAGACCTATTAAAAAGCAATGCAAGACAAACTATATTCCTCAATACTATTCTTACTCTTACGTTTTACAGCACTATGTATTTTGTGTTCCATACAATGAATATAAACAACAATTAAGACATAGATACTTGGCATAATCCTTCATGATTGTCACTTGCATTTTCTTTTACTTAATAAAATAGTGAAAGATCATTTGCTCTTTTCGAGAACTCGCTAATAACTCTAATACACAAAGAGGAGTTCATTTATGGAATCGATGTGCATCGAATATAGTATAGGCATATATCATATGAAGACGAGACTATCCTATAGTTTTATTTCTGATTTAATCACAAACGTCAGCACATAGTTTTCATCACATATTGTTTATACGAAGAAAGTAGCTCCACATATAATTGTTGACGCTTACCTATACTTCATGTTACGAACGAAGAATTAAACATTACTCACGAACTTATTCTGAGATACAACATGAAGTTGAATGTGGATGTCGGTGTGACGTGTGAATGTAGGAGAGGAGAATATAAACAGTCACATCCATCCAAGTGTGAAGGGGTAGGCTGAGGCGGCGGGTAAGCAGGTCAGAATGAGAATAGAGTTTATGATGATGTGGGAATTAGATTAGGTGTCGTGTTGGTTCTGGGTGTGCTTCTCCTTTTCACCCACACCTACACCTTTATCGTGGAATAGATTAGCATCGATTTAATTTTCCTTCCAACTATTGTTATACACTGGCTATGTGAATATAATCTCGTTTGCATACCATTGAATGTGCGTAGTTCATGAATATTCACTGGTATTAAAAATTGATGTAACAACTACAGAAAAATCCGACAATTTTTTTTTGTCATGTTCCTTATTTTTTTCGTAGTTCATTGTGCAAATTATTCTATGTATTTTTCTATTTTGGTCAAGTTTTCTCCTACAACTCTCTCAAGAAATGAAATTATTTCCTTTGAATAGTTCTCTTGAAATGTTATTTTTTTCTATTAGCATTAAATTGATATTGTTCAATAGGAAATATTGTATGAATAGTTTGGGATCAATACAAACTTGACGAATTCTATTTTGAATTGATTCTTTTGTTAAGATTTCTTTTTGTATTAATTCTATTTAGAAGACATTTGTCCGATCTTGGTTGTGCGCCATTCATTCTCCTATCTCTTTCGAAATCAAAACTTGCCAAGTGAATATTACTGGCTGATAGGAGCTTTCGCATTATATTAAAAACACAAAACAGCTCCCATGTCGTTGATTTTTCATTAAAACTGCCGGTTCGAATGGTTTTCTCGTTTTTTTTCTCATTTTTTTTAAAATTTCACTGCTAAATTATTATTTTCAATCTTGAAAAAATCGATTGCAAGTCAAAAAAAGTTCATATTAATGCGCCACAATAATTTATATCATATGGCGTCACTAATTTTTCTACTGATTAAGTCATCTAATGAATATCTATATTTATGGCGGCATCTTTAATTAAAAAAACCAAACTCGAAAACTAAGTGAATTTAGCTGGTATGACTGGTACCGGCAAATTCAACGTGCTGTCATTTAGAAGAGAACACAATTTCGACTAAAATCTAACAATTTTGTAAGCGTTAAAAAATATTCATACGGTGTGATACAAAAAGAAATTATATAGGAGAACCGCAGTTGATCGCCGATTTTCGAGCAGTTTGAACGACATGGGCTTCGCTTCGCGAAAATCTGAGAACTGTTGTTTTTTTAATGACAGTTATTTTGTGAAGTGGTTCTATTTGACACAGTTTGTGTTCAGCATTACCACCTTTGGTGACAAGCTATTCCGAGTTTTTCGAAATCGAATGCTGTCGCATTCTATTTCGTTCAATTCTATCTGAATTAATTGATATTTTTTCAAATCAAACAATTTTCGCATAGAAGTCAATTGAAAACGAAAAGATTGTTTTACCTATCACTCACTTGTCATCTAAGATCGCTCAATAGGTACACAAACTTATGTACATTCCATCATCTGAATTTTAGTTCGGGCTTGAATAAATGCGGTCAATGTTTGAAATGATATTGGCGAAGCATAAACTTGCTCTTCTTCGATTGCCATTAGGGAGCTGTGGGTCCACGTTTTTGTGGACCTGCACCCTAACAAAGTTTAAAATTTGGACCCGAACTCGGTCGGATCCAAATCCGAGGTTTTTTCATCAATACCTGACATCCTTCGTGTACATGAACAAGTGAAGGATCAAGATTTCAGCTATTTATTCGCTACTCAGAAAAAAACTCAACATACAGTTATATCTTGTTGCTGGATTTCTCATCTGGGGAGAAGCGAGTCCACAAAAAACGTGTAATCGGACCTAACAAAAAAAAATAAAACTTTGGACTCGGCCGGGTCCGGGTCTGGTCTAGGTGTGGAAGGACCCGCAGCTTCCTAACTACCATTGGTTTGTCAATCGATGAATAACTAGAATCTAAATGTTCGATTAAACGATCAGTCCATTGGATAGAAACATAGTAACGATATGCAATGTTTTTATGGTCAATTTATTTTAAGGAACATCCTTTATATATTCAAATATTTAAATCAGTCATTGTAGATATTTCTCTTATAATCAACTGTTCATGATCGAATTCCATGATGAATAGCAATTGACATTGATTTAGTTTGTTGAATAAACTACGACTCAATGAATGATCTTTTTTGTGTTGTAATTGAATTTGATTGTCGATGAACTTGTTGAAATGACTAATTTTTGGATCATTGTATGATGGAAAAATTCTCTTCTATTAGATAAAAATAAAATGATGTAGCTTCATTCAATCCAAGTAATCGACGGACGGAGCCAGACATGTTTTTAGTTGATTCGTCAAAGAAAATAGTGGGTGTTTCATATTAGTCGTTGTGGATGTAATCATCCGCTCGCTGTATCTGATTATATATGTTTCGTGCAAATGAAAATGGTTTTTTCTTCTAGAAGATTCACATCGATGACTGCATCCATTGTTACATTGTCTATTATTGACCGAATAAATCTTGAATAGGTATCTGTAACCGAAAATTCAATATCGGATTGGAAATCTGAAGATAGTGATTATCATTTAACATTGATCAGTCTATCAGACAACGTAATTTCAATGAGTCGAAAAAATAAATTCTACTGCGTGCTATCGTGTGCAATTGGTAAAGTCAGTTGAGTCCAAAGAGTTGGAAGTAATATTTTAGCTGTTCTGACATGATTCTCAGTAAATTCATTCAAGGGAATCAAAATAATATGCTTATGCCATTTGGCTTGAAAATCTCTCAACTGATAACCGAAAACTTGTTCTCGAAAGATTCGAGCTTGTTCTACTGGATCAAAACATCCAAAATTGAAATGTGACAGTATGCATTGATATTGATTTTGTAGACCATTCAAAGCAGCTGGTATTTCCATGGGAAAATAAATAGTCTAACACGAAACAAAAGTTTATTCGTTAACATTCAAACAATTATTTTACTTTGCCATCAGCCAAACATGTCAACTGATAAATCATTAATGTACTATACGAACGTTGAAAGACACCACCGACAGTTATTGTCAATTGTAGATGAGAGAAATTCGTATCGCTATAACGAAAAAGATAGACTAATACAATTTCATGATAGTTACAGATACAAACATCGGTTTCCATGCAGTCAATTTGAATCCAATCATTCTTTGTTCTTCTTCTGTCAATTTGAGAATACTTGGAATCAACTGTGTAGAATTTTCAATAGTCCACGGAAGAATAAAAACCCATTTTCGAATGAAAGTCATTCGATTCTGATTATGTTCCTTGTTCAATTCCATTTCGATAATATCCAATCGATATTGATGATCTGCAAAAAAAAGAAAGTCAAGTCGAGTGATATCGAATCATTTTGATCATCATACCATTTGTCGAAGTAATCAATTTAGCATAGTTAAAATAGAAAGCTGCAGCACAACCTAATCCGACACTAGTACATTGCTAGATAAAAAAAAGTTTCAGAATAATATGTTAACCAATGAAAAAAAAAGAATACCTACGATAGATAATTCTTGATCGAATAATTCAATTCGATATTCAGATGGATCAGTATAATCTTTCGATAGTACATTCATCTTATTGAGATAACTAATTACTTCATGAATTTCATTCTCATTCCATTGTGGTGTTCGATGATGAAGATCTACGGTTAGATAAGGAACCGAACGAATGAATTGACATGGAAACTGTTCAATAGCTTCATTAACAAGAATGAAAACATCACGCATAGTATCACGCTACAATTATAACGACAATATCAATGTTTTGATTCATCTACAAATGAGACGATCATTTTACTTGTATGATATTATGTTGTGCAATACGCATCATTTGACGATTGTCTTCATCGTTTTGTCGACCTGTACAAATGAAAATACTCTGTTCAATCTTTTGATGAGTATTGGCCGACTCGACGATATAATTCTGTTGTTGTAATTTTTCTTTCAGATCTCTAAAAAATTAAATGAACAGTTAAGGTTCTTGATTATCCTAATAAATTTTTGTAAGATCTACATGATCAAAGTTCTAATCGATGGATCTTCTTGTGCTCTTTCAGTAAAAAACAAGGCTATACATTTGTTTTGTTCATTAGGAATTATCTTTGTGTTGATCTAAATGAAAAAAAAAACAACAATTGTTCTCTTCGAAGAATTGAGCATATTCGGATTCGGCTCACATCAATAGAAGCTGCTGTTGTCGGTGATGGTTCATAATATTCATCGATATCTTCCGTAATTTGTAACCAAAATGATTTGACATCAGCATCTAAAATTTACTTTTTTTCTCGATCTGAATGCATAAAAAAAGAGAAAATTCTACATACAACCCATTGCGTTTGATAGACAATTATTAAATTCATTCGTCGATCGATATTGATCATCGTCAAATTGAATCAATCGAATTGATTCAGGCCATGGATCAAGTTCGATCAATCGTTGAAGTATATTACAGAAACGTACATATTCATCACGTTTTTGTGCTCGACTAATCTGACCCATTTGATAGAGTTGATCAAGAATTGACATAATGTATGGATATTCTGCACAGAAGAGATACTAGATGACAGAAAAACTTATTTCATTCGTTATTCTCAATTGAAATATATATATATATATATATTTTACTCGAATGATTTCTCCATTCTCATCTATTACATCTATATAGTAATATGTTCGACGTAGATATCGATTGTAATGTATCATTTTAGGTGATCGAAGGACTTTACTGAAATCAAAAGAAAAAGGAAATGATCGTGAACGAAGAAGAAATTGATTGTATTACTTATGAACATAAGCCAATTTAATTCGATTGGGTTCAACTGGATCTCGAATTGTACCTTCTAGGAAAGTTTCTTGATTTTCTTGACATCCACCAATATTAGCTTGTCCACAATCACACGAGGATTTTGCCAGTAAATAGTAGACTGGTGCAATACGAATTTCTTTGATTCGTTGTTGGTTAGCACTCTGACGATTAGCTGGATCAATAATATATCGATGATATGAATCTTTGCTGGTTTTCTTCATTGTACTGACGCCTAAAACCGTGACGAAGAATTGATTTTAGAATTGAAAACAAAAAATCACTTACCTCCGTATCGATCTGATATAGTTGGTGCACGTGTCATAGAAAAGATAAAACATTTTCTATTCGGTCTAATTCGAATATGAAAAGTAGCTAATGGTGATTCATCAATTTCATCATTACCACCCGAAGAACATGGTTCATATTCGATATTCCATTTTCGTACATCATCTCTAAGTCGAATAGATATGAGAGTATCGAGAGGCAAATTTTTTTGCCAAATATAAACTTTCTGTACTCTATAACCAAAATCACTGACACCATGAATGCAAAATGTCACATGTGTTCCCCAATTATCGATAATCTTGTAGCTGTCCACGTCCAAATTCAATTGCAAAGGATTTGATTGTATTAGATCAAGATGGTTTGTCATCACACTAGATGGATTCTTATGCAGAAAGACACTTTCAATCAATGTATACAAGACAATGATAAGTGTTTGTGGAAGATTTTCTTTCGAAATTATAGCATTGAAAGTCAAATCAAGAAAGATACTATTTGCTAAAAATTTAAAAATAAACAAAATAGAATCTAAAAGATTTATTTCCTACGTACTAGAACCAACTTGACGATTGAGATAAGAATAGTAATAATTAAATACTAAGCCACTACTTATGCTATTTACATGTAGAAGTAAAGGATAGAAAGGTAATGATGAATTTCGAGAAGAAATCAATCGTTCAATGAATGTACCAAAGTTCCATTCGAACTGTATCGAATTATAATGTGTGATTTCACTGGATTGATGACTATGAAAATGATAGATAGTCATCGTATTGAGTTCTTCGATTGATGTATTATATAAATGAAATAGAAAACTTTCGAAATATCGACGTCTCAATAAATTTTCTTGTTCTAGTAAGAGATTATTATCCAAACAGATAAATATCATTGGAATTCCATCCTAAAATGATAATATTTCATTGCTTCAACGAAAAAAAACTCGATCAAAAGACTAACACTTTCAGGAAAGTTATTATTAAACTCAACAACATCATCAATAATATCACTCCAAATAATTTCCAAAATATAAGTAAAACCTACAAAAAAAATAGATCATCGATTATTTTGAATGAGAACTATATATTACTCACGTTGATCTTGTTCTCGTCTATGTGCAACATTGGTCAATATCATTTTAGTCAATTGATCACGAAATTTTCTAAATAAATTGACAAAAAATTGATACTTTTCGAGAAAAAAAAATCGATACTACATGTATTGAGCCTTGATAAGATTTGATGCTCGTGGATGAATCAATGGAAAATCAATCAGACGAATATTGATATTTTTTCCTATAATAGTAGACGAACCATATGTGATTATGTCGTCTCTAGACACCATTTTCAATCTACAAAGGAGGATTTTTTTTTTTTCGTTTTAAAAATATTTCTTTCTACTACTTTTCAACTCTTTCTTCAACATATATATATACACATTGATAAAACTGCACTTTTACAGTAGTGAAAGAAAGAAAGAAAAAAAAATCAAGGTTGCTATTGCTGATTACATTTTTTTCCACTTCCTTTCAAGATAAAAAGAGCTTGTACGTCTGACTCATAAATGCGCTCTACGTCAGTATTACGAAAAATATGCACGTGTATTTGTATTTCAGTAGTTTCCCGATTAATAGTAGTTATCTACTGAAATACCTCATCAAGTTACACTCAATATACTTAATTAACATTTCTTTTTGAAGGTCTTACACAAAAAAAAAATGTATTATTCAATTTTCAATTAACGTATTTCGAATTAATGTAAATGATTGAAAAAAAAATCAACTGTGATTGAAAACTATTTGCATATCATACGATTCGTGTCAGACTAGTTTACCAACAACTGAATAATTTTACCTTAATAGTAACTACATTACTCATGAAATGACATCTATCAAAAAAATCCCAGTATGCAATTTTTCCATTGTGAAAAGAAAAAAAGAACTGATAACCAATAGCGTCAATATTGTCCATAATAAATCAATCAGTGGTATGTTGCCGTCCGAGTCATGACAAACAAACTATTTGAGTAGCACGAATACAATAATAAATGAATCACTGAATCATTTGCATACGATACGTTCAAGGACGATTGACAAAAAGTTTAATCAAGAGCGATATTGTCGTGTATGTAATACTTGAAACTTGAATTCAATTACTCAAGTATTCAAGTATCCAACTATTCAAATATTCAAATTTTAACTTCTCAAGTATTCTGCAGACATTCAGTGGGGAAGCGCGTTTTTCCCCCTAACACACCCTTTATTTCAGCGTCGCAGCGTGGGGAGAGGAGGCGAAGCGCTCCCAGAAGAGCCGCGACCCATGCACGTTTCTGTGTAAACCATTATTCCTACTCGGTGCTGCACAGTAGCTCAAGCTTCTCATTCACATACTTGTAACATCCCAGATAATATCTGAAACATCTCAACCAAAACCTGTTGTGTCCTAGGGATTTGTTTGTAGTATCATAGAAGATGCTACAAGCATCCCAGGCAATACCTGTCGGTGTTAAATGATTCTGGTGACATTCCAGGAGTTAACTAATTGAGTACTTGAATAGTTGAATACTTGAATTCAACTTTCAAGTTTGACATTACTGCAATTCACATGCACGGAAGTTGTGCATCTTGCAAAATGTGATCTTGAATAAATTGTAAAGCTCGAATCATATCCTATTGTATCGGATGATAAACGAACAAGAGACTTTCTCTATTCCGATTTCACATTTTTCTAGGGAAAGGTGGCCACTGTATGCAGGCGAATTAATGAATTCGGCTACGGTTCGATAATCGATCCATCATTTGTATTGTCTCTTGAACTTGTTTGAGAAGAGTACGAGCATAATTATCAATGTTGATCATATTATAATTTTCAATGTAGAACAACGGAAGTGATTCATGTTGGATATTGTCAATGTAATTATTTCAGAATATTTGTCACACAACGAATGAGTGTATCATTGATTCAACATTGTTGTTGGCGATACTGCAAGGGGGGAAAAGCGCGACTCCAGTACTTTGAAGTACAAGTGGAGTCGCACTTTTTCCCTCTTGAGATAAACTCGTTCATAAGAAAGTATAATATAGTTTGATCACCATGATCGATAAGAGTAGTGAGCATACTATTGGCAGTGATATATCTATCTACCTACTCGCTCGTTTATTCGTACTGTACGAGTGACTAAATAAAAAAAACAAACTGACATTCTACATGTGTTGGAAAGTACCAACTGAGATTTCTTCATCATAGTTATTGCATAAGCACATTCTTTTTCCCCAGTAAAATAGAGAAGTAGTGCATTTATATTGGGATGCACATTGATATTTGCAAGGAAGAGAAAAATTAGTTGTTCTGGTAGTAGTCAACATTCTTCAACCAAATGAAAAAACTTGCAATATTACCTTTTGCGTTCTATCTCTCCACGTGGTCAACGAGAGTAGAAAAAAATAGTAAGGTAAACATTTCATCACATTGTAATAGAATCATCATAAAGAGATGAATAATCGATTATAGTGATTAGAAATTGATGTAACTCTATACATACAACCTCATTTATTTGCGCATCAGTAAAGGAGCATCAGTAGTCTACTGAAATAAGACAAGTAGTGCATTCTCCTATGACATCGACTGAATAGTGAATCTATCCTATTGATCGATGTTGATCTCGTTGAAATTTTTGCTCTTCAAAAACAAATCGGCAATATGAATGTTCAACTACTGCAGATGTTCATTTCTCATAATCATTCGGATCATTGTGGTAAACTTTCAGTATATACCACCAATGAATCTACTAAGTCTTTGGTTCCCATTGTGTGTTATGCTGGTATTCAATCATACTTATGTGAACGTCGCTATGTTTAACTTGAGTCGTTGTGGATGGCTTCAACAATCCTGGTCGATGGTCAACAAGATAATACCTATGAACAAGATGTAGATATGAATGAGTGCAATTGTGATCAATTTGAATATTCATTTTACTCACCCATCACATCTTATCGATATTTAATTAGAATGTAAGAACAAAGAAAGATGTTTGCCACGCATTGAAAGTTATGTTAGAAGATCGAAAGTTAAGGTGAACTTCTCTAATGTATTTATATACGTTAGAAACCAAAAAACAAAATAACAGAGATAGTGACTCAGTTATATGAAAGAGGACGAAGGTGAAGAAGAATAAACACAATAACAAAAACGATCACACATATATATAACAGTAGACTAGAGAAATTCCAATGTAAGTTGGAAATACACATACTAAGAAAGGGAAAATGAAACTTGGAAAATTCCAACATACATGAATAGTAACCAGTAGGAAAAATTCAATGAGTCACCACATTACAATGATAATAAATCTTAATTCCTTATATCAATCTGTATCCTTTATTTAAGTTCATTATGTTTTTATTGTTTTTCTAGCTAGGTTCCATAATAAAAAAAAATATAGTTATTTATTTTCTAAATTCTTTATATTTCGAATATACAATTGTCTCCAAAATTATCCAGTCACGTTTATTTTGAATGCTTTTCCACTGTCGTAGACACAAATGAGAATCCAAATCATAATTAGACTAGAGAATTTTATTTTCGATAAGACTTTTTCAAGATGAAAATGATGACTAATTTTCGAAGGATGCAGTCTTTGAAAAACTCAAAAGTAATTCTTTCAGTTGGTAAAATTTGCGAGTAGAATTCCATTTGAATTATCCGAAATGATTTAGAACAAACAATAAAGTTATTTTTTCTTTCTAATATTTCTTATAAAAATACCATTTTTATGCCCTACATATTCGCGTTTATGGCAGTGAAAATAAATCTGGTCGAATAGTTTTTGAAGTCCTTGTAGAAGTTTTCATCAATTTAAGATAAGCCTTTTGAATTATAAAAAAGATGATGAGTCAATACAAAACTGATCTAGTAATTACTGTTATCAATGTCTTGAGATACAATACTCAATAATTTATCAAATGTATTGAAATTACTTGAAAGAATTTTAAAAAAAAACATTTAATTACAATTAACGCTGTGTACTCTTTTCTATATATGTTTTTAGAATTTTTGTAGATAATTAGTTTTTTACGTAATTCGTCGTTTGTGTCGATCACATTTTCGGTGCTTGTAAGCATTTTTTCACAAAAAATCGGTTTTAATCGAGATGAATATCGTTTCATTTTATTTGACGATTACCAGTAGAGCCGATCGGATTCCAGTCTGAAATTTTTCTGCTAATCGAGTCTAGATCTAAAAACTTTAAATTTGATAGGCTCTACTCGCCAGTCCTATCGATTGGTAAACAAATTTTGATTTTTTATTGCATCTATCGAAATTATCGCGTAGAACTCGATATTTCATTTTATTATTTCAATGATTAAATTACATATGAACAATCGATCCGCAATCATTACGTATATACATGTAAACTCATGGACATGATAATGACATTCTTATATCGAATCAGCTACTTTGATAATCTGATGCATGATAAACATAAAAGAAGGTTTTCTGTTGACAAGTGTTAATGACTTTTAGTTTTTGTTCTTGTCTAAGCAGTTAATTGATCGGTGACCTTCAACTTTTATTACTGTCCATGTCGTCTTTTTTTTTGGTGAAAACCGCCAGTTAACCGTGATTAACCGACAGCCAAAATCCACACCGATAGTCAACTGAGGTTAACCGACGATTTTGCTCATTTATTTTTAGTAATGAAAATTTATAAAACAATTAATCACGAACTTATTCGTAATACCGAAAATTTATCAGTTATCATAGAAGAGATTTCTTAGACCTCTTCTTTCGATATACACATAGCTTTTATAGTTAACATATATAAATATTCCGTGACTTCTCTGAGTTTATAACAAAGTTATCCGTCGACTCAGCTATTTTTGCTTTGGTATAAGGCATTAATATAAAGTTGTAGTTTGATTTTTAAATATGTCTTCTTATGATATGCATCAAAAAAGAACCTGTATTCATATCTTGTCATAATTGATATTTGAAGGGATAAACTAACTCTTTTTTATTTAGATTTGGTGAAAAACAGTAGATTCAAGTGTAAATATAAATTTATTAAAAATTAAAATCACTTGTTTTTCTATTTAGATTTAATCCAACAGCTGATTCAATTATAGATATGAATTAATAAATTTTAATTGTGTATTAATTCATAAAATAAATTAGATATAAGGTACTTAGTGGATGAGAGAAGTTGTGAGAGTGACGATGAAGAACCGTCGGTTAACCGGAATTAACCGCTGGTTGACTGCGACTAACCACGGTAACCGAAAAATTTTCGACTAATCATGGTGTACCGAAAGGTTAAACTTTCAGTTAACCGAACAGTTGACTGCGGTTAACCGATGACTCTTTGCCTGTTCGAAGAACATCGATGGTTTCTTGTGTAGTTGAATTTATCGAAATGGTGTCCGTTCAGCGAAAAGCATTTCAGCGAATGACTTTTTCAGCGAAAAAAAACAGCGAAAAACGATTTAGCGAAAATAATTTACAGCGAAAAAACATGATAGCGAAAAGAAATAATAGCGAAAAACTAAATTAGCGAAAGAGCAAAACAGCGAAAAATTAGACATAGCGAAAAAATTTTGAGCGAATTTTTTTTCTTGGTGAGCTCCATCTATCGATCTATGAGAATAGTTCATCGTGGTTAATATATTTACAAGTAACCGTCCTTGTTTATTCTTTCCTTCTCTGTTGTACTTGTACAGACGAAATAATCGACTGTTTTCTTATCTTTTATCATACGTATTCTTTTATAGATCATACGTCCGTACTACGTACATCATTTTATTTATTTAACTAAACTAAGTATGACTGATCTACCATCGATCTCTTTTACCACTTCGAATCGAGGCAAGCCTTTGCTCGTTTACTCAGGATATATTCATCGACTTAAAAAGTCGACGGAGAAAGTGAAATATTGGGTTTGTCATAGTGATGGCTGTTTGGCCACCATTCACACAAACAAAAACGACGAAATTCTTAAAGCTAATGGTCATCATTATCATATACCTGATCCAGAACAAATCGAACTCCGAAACTTAAGAAAAAAAGTGAAAGATAGAGTACAATCTGAAACTAATTCTATACCTAAAATATATGAAGAAGAATTAGCTCGTTCAAATCTATCTTCAACAGCTTTAACTCTTGCACCTGTTGCTGTTGAAATTAGTAAGTTTATCATCAATCAAAACATCCAATGCCTTTTTTTATATAGAATCTGGTCTTAATCGTATGCGTCGAAAAACAACTCCACCTCTACCAACATCAGCTGATTTTGATATTCCTGATTTTTATCAACAAACACTTAATGGTACACAATTTATCTGTACTGACAAGATAATCAAAAAAAAAAGAATGATTTTGTTTGCAACCGATAAACAGCTTGAAGTATTATTCTCGTCTGAATGGATATTTCTTGATGGTACATTTGATAAATGTCCTAAACAATTTCAACAAATTTATACAATTCATGGTTTAAAATTTCAACAAAGTGAGATCATATATTTATTTGAAATATCTATTGTTTCAATTTTTTCTGTTAGATTTTCCTTGTGTGATTTGTCTTTTATCCGGTAAAACAGCTGACATTTATAGACAACTGTTTCTTGAACTTAATGATCATGCTACTCGATTGAAAATGAAGTTTGAACCGAAACACGTGATGTCAGATTTTGAGATGTCTTTAATCAAAGTCATCAAAGGAAAAGTTTGTACCTTCTGAATTATAATTTAATTTAATTTTTATTTTCTAGCTTCCAAATGCAATACATCATGGATGCTTTTTCCATTTTACTCAATCTCTCTATAAACACATTAATTCACTTGGTCTTTCTACAGCTTATCTTGAGAATGAAGATTTACGTTTAGCTTGTCGAAGTGCAATGGCACTTGCTCTTCTTCCTCAAGATCATATAGAAGAAGCTCTCGAGCTTCTTAAAAATGAATCACCTGAAGAATTGATTGACTTTTTTAAATACTTTCACAATCAATGGTTAAAACGTATACCAAAAAATATTGGAATGTATCAAATCTCGAGTTTCGTACAAACAATATTTGCGAAAGTAGTGCTTTTTTTACTATTCAAAAATATTTTTTTTCTTTCATCTATAGCCTGGCATAATAAATTTAATAATCGGGTCGAAAAACATCATCCCAATGTTTGGCATTTATTCAAGTGTTTACAACGAGAAGAATTATCGTTTCGTCAACAATTATCAAAAGTTAATAGTGGTTTTCAAATCGGATCAAGCATCAGAACCTGTAGTATTCGAGCACAAATCGATGTATTAAATGAACGACATGAACAAAAACAAATCAACTTGATCGATTTTCTTTATGGATTATCTACACTTGTGGCTAAAAATTCCAAATAAGTACTTTTAATTTCTCGTTATTACAGTCAATTTCTTCATTGTTATTTTATTATCATTTGATGTTGATGCGTTATATTTCTTTACTTTGTTTCATTTAATTAAATTTTATTTTCGATTTGATTATGAAAAAAATTTCTTCTATTTAAATTTTCTTTTTTATTTATTGCGAAAAAAAATTCGCTCACTCTGCTTTTCGCTGATTTACTTCTTCGCTGATATGTCCTTTCGCCGTTTTGCTTCTTCGCTTAAAAGTGTTTTCGCTCAAAATTCCTTCGCTCAATTTTCTTTTCGCTGTTTTCATTCGCTGAAAAATCTTCGCCGAAAAGCCTTTCGCCGATTATCAACCTCCCCAATTTATCTGCTTGAAATTTTTATTTGTGCATAAGTTTCACGATCACTTAGTTTCATAAATATGCAAATTGTTTTCATTTTCGAACGTAAACTATTTAGCGCATGCCTAATCATTATTCTATTGGTATCATTTACACGTGCAATGCAAGTTATTTTTTTCTGAATTTAGATTATTGCATTTTTTTGGAACAAAAAATTTGAACTTCTTAATGAATCAATGAAATTTTTAGTGTATAAGAAGATAATTTAATTCTATCGTAACAAATACGAATAAGTAAAAAATTTAAAGGTAACGAAAAAAAATTGGAATTAAGATTGTATGATTTCATAGAAGTATTTTTGTGCTAAAATTTTGTTTGATTCTTGAACTCAATATTTAATATATCATTAAATTCCTTTTTTTTTGTCAAATAAAAGTTAAATATTTGAGATTAGTCTTAATATTATGATAAGAATAGAGATTAATACTATCATTGAAACTTTTTATCTCTACATTTTGGTCAAAAAGTTTCTTTAATATAGAAATTAATAACAGACATACAACAACAAAAAAAAACTTCTTCTACAGCGTATTTCACTGCTTTTTTTTTAAGTACTAGAATAAGACAATATCATTAAAAAATTAATAAGATTTTGAATATCATATTTTTACTGAAGAAAAAGAAATTTACATTGCATGATTTTCATCTTCATAAAATTCAACTGCTTTTGGTGGTCTAACAATTGGATTATTTAAAAAAAGTCCATGAGCAATAGCACCACGTTCAACTTTTTCTAAATTTATTTCATGTAAATAAACTCTTGCTCTTGTTACATGTATATAAAAACCAATAGCAAATAATATAAATGGACAACCAACAAGAAATAATGTAGTAAGTGCTGATATAGCTGCTAAACGTGAAAGTCCACTCACTTTAATCCATATTATAAGACCAAGTTCAATAAGAAATAAAAAAAGACCAAAACCTGTTGATACAATCCATGCTATTTCAATATAAATATTTAATGAATGTAATGGTTTATTATTTTCATTATTTATCCAAAAATCACTTTGACGTATAACACTTTTTAATTCAGGTAATATACACATTGACATAAGTAAAGCAAGTAAATGAATTCCAACTAATAAACATGATATTATTGCATAACATATTATTAAACCATCATTTGAACTATGACCTTTATATGAATCTAATGATAATTCAACAATAGCTACCTTTAAAAAAAAATAATATATTTAAAATAAATACTCTAATTGACAAACAAAAAAAAGAACAAACTTACAATAGCAAATCCACTTAATAATGCTGATGTCTCACTGACACTTTCAAGTTTTGATTTACGATAAAAAAGATTTTGTATTCGATGATCATTTCTTTGTGAAGCTCCTAAATATAAAATGTAAATTCTTAAAGTATAATATAACATATATAAATTACTAATATTATATATAATTTAAAATGACGTATTTTACGTACCTTTAGTAGATAAATATAATGAAGCATCTGACATATTTCTCGTATTGATTTTTAGCACACAATAGTTCTCATGAGAAAATTTGAAAAAATAAAACCATTAATTCTTTCTCGTATTGTTTTTCTTTCTTTCGTTCGTTCTTTTATCATGCAGGACACAAATAGTCCGATAACTTGTTATCGTAGCTATCAACGATGATTAAATTTACCAATTTTCTCTCTTTCTTCGTTCTTTCGCTGACTTGTCGACCATTCTCTAAATAAACGGCATAAATTATTTGGCATATATGGAAAGCAATAAAGCATTTTTTTTTGCTTCATACGATGTATTTTCACATTCGTCAAGGCAAAAAAAAAGACATTAATTAGATAAGTTGAAATTGATACATAAAATAGATAGTAATTAAGATCGAACGATAACTATTAGTAAAAAAAAAAGAGCTAATGTATATTCTTATGGAAGAAAAGTAAATATCGAAATGTTACTTTATGTAATAATTTATTTTAATTTACAATTTCAAAATTATAACTGAGAAAATTTGAAGATAATTTATTTTCAATATAGATGGGTCTTAATAATTCAAAATAATTAAATGTATTCCCTTTCTTTTTTTTATCAATTGATTATTGATTTTATTTTTCTTCTTATATTTTATTCATGCTATGAAACTATATGAGCAAATTATCCTAACAGATTGCGAGATTTTGATTTCATCGTTTGGGTATTGTAAGTCTCATTGAAACGTAGAAGATCTTAAAAGCGTTTGTATTAATAGTTTATCATTCTCAAGACATAATCCATGTTGTAACGAAAAGCAAGACGTTTTTTTTTGTCAATTATGATTTTTATATTATACTAATACTATTATTTCGATCTCATATTTTATTTAAAATTGAAATAGAAATTATTTTTATTAGATTACTAATCATATCTCTTCAATGAAGTCTTTTAGAGTTTTCTTAGTCTCATTGGTTAGGGAAGTTCTCCAATTGATTAATTGTTTTTAAGTCGAGACAACGTATATCATATAAATCCTAATCAGTTATGAATATCTAGAAAAGAATTTATGCTATTAACTTATTACTGCAGAGATATGATATTTTTTATATCAAAATTATACTCTTGCTTAAAAACATTGAATAAAGTAATTTTCGAATTTTATCGTGAAAGGTTATACAGAGATAGATCTTAAACAGAATAGTTTATTGTGAAAATCTCAAACATTTTGATTTGCTTCTATCCTGAAACAAGAATATTGAATCTATCAATATATATTTCTGTGGAAAATTTCAAGTCAAAATTTGAAAATAATTCCTTATTGTGACAACAAGAAGCTAACAGCACGAATACTTTTTACAGTATTCACTCTGACTCAAAAGCAATTAATCAAATGAAGAAATTCTCTTGAAAGAACCACTCATAATTAAAATATGAAGTTGAAAGTTCAAAATCAGTTAAGAAAATTCATAATCTAGAATTGATAGCAACTCATCATTTAAGAAGTCATAGTTAAATGTTACAAACTTGTAATGATTAGAGGCGAACATTCTTGGGATGAGTAAAAATTTTTATTCAAGAATTGAAGATAAAAATTTAAATTGTATAATCAATCCGCTTCTAAAATTATGTATGACAATTGAGAAAATATCTTTTTTAATTGAGTAAATTTTATTAAATCGTTGTTATAAGCAATATTTTTTCTCAATTAATGCATTCTCGGCTATGTGATCCATCGATGAATCATACTATAGTGAATAGCAAGAAGTCAACCATAAACATTTTTTATCTATTACTCATTTTAGTAAGAAAAGAAGTTTTCATTTGACATATAAACGATGGATGGTAGGGTCAAAATATTGTAGAACTCTAGTAATAGTTCTATTTGAAGTTTTTTTTTTCGTATTTTGATCGTAATATTGTCTTATATTAGTTAAGTTTAAATTTCTTTTTCTATAAAAATGATCAGTTCATTGTAGATACCATATCGATGTTGAATATCTCATTTATTGACGTCAGAACTAATTCTCTTTTATTCTACATTGAGAGAATCAAATGTTTCTTTTTCTATTCTTTTCTCATCGCTTTGATTTTGTTTTTGTTTCTCTTATTCTTCTTTTTCTTCTTCATTTTATCGGTACTCTCCTTTTCAAATCACACACACGCATATATATTTATTATATGAAAAATTCATATCTGTTAACAACTTCAATTTTATTATTCAATAATAGTTAAATATGAGTCAGTTTCTACAAGAAGTAAAAAGAAAAGCAAGTTTTTCTCCATCATTTATTAGTGCAACACGTCGATTTGTACGTCAAGAACTTCAAGGTAAATAAAAATAATTATTTATTATTACAAAAAGGAAAGTACGATGAAGTATTTGAACTCTACTGACAGACAGATTTATATAAAATGAACTCAAACTGATGTCCTCTCATAACATTCGTTGATAGTACAGTTGAAATATGTACCTAAAAAACTTCTAGAGGATTGCTTTGACATATTCTTGGAATATGGAACTTTTGCTTTTTCATCCTTTCAGTTATTAGTTATTTGAATATGCTATTAGAAGATTTTTTTTTATCAAATTTTAAAATAAGATGATTTTAATAACACTATGGCAATGGGAACTTAGATATTACAAAATTTTGATGTCTACAATTTATCGAAATCTTTGTTTTTTTTTAATATCATCGCGCAGCAGCAGATTATCAGCTATTAGAATGACACCATTAAAAATATATTTCAAGGCCTATGCCACTTAATGCTGTTGATAGTGTACTCCACTTTTTATATGTAGATGAGGTATGTCATTGAAGTGAATAAATGTTTGGGTCAGGTCGGATAGAACGTTCTATGTCGAGCTTTAGATTCTATAATAAAACTGAATGACTTTGGTTATGTTTCATGCAAACTCGTTTTTTTTGTTTTTAATGAATGATTGTCGAACACGATATCATGTGTATTTATAAACTAATGAATAGGTAAATTATTCTACTGAGAATTATATTCATTTTTATTATGTTGATGTTATATTGTTGAATGTATCATTAAAAAAAGATTTATTTTCTTTTTTTTTCGTTTAAATACTAAATAACTATTGTTGTTGTTGTTGTTTCTTTTTCTCTTTCATGTCATGCTAGAAGCATTTCTATTGAATAGAAGATAATTAGCCATTAATTTTATTTTTTGAGATTTAATCAAAAAAAAAAATATATATACGACATAAATTTTGTTAGAAGTTAAATCATATTAATAGCTATGTTATGTGTATGATTATCGATGTTTATTAATTTTATTCTATTTAAATATTAATATCTTAAAATATTCATAGATAAACTATGGGTATTGCTCTGGCACTAAATACAAGAGTACATCAGAGTAAGTTAACTTATTCGATAAGAATTTATTAATATAAGATTACAAAAATAAAAATTTACTAATCATATGTATATATAGACGATGAGCGGAATCAGAAAGTATTAGTAGAGAGAAAACTTTTAACGATGACACTGGAATAGAAATCGATATTAGATATCATCCTAAGAGAAAACAGTACAGAAGTAATGAATTTAACTACAAGAAGATGAATGAAAGATTCAAGATACATTTGAAATAATGAATTTATGTCCTGTAGGACGATCTATGTCATTACAGTATCATAAGAGACTAGTGGTGTAACCGCCAGGGAATTACGAAAAGATGAATCCTTACCTTTAGTGAACACTTTTGGATTACGTCACTATAGGAGACATGCTGAAGTCAGTTACCAGTAGTTGAAGCACATATATGTGTTTTTTCGCCCTCAATGGGTTAATATGTAATAGTAAATTTGATGAGAAATGAATAATTAGCGTGGTTTTTTTTAATAACTTTTTTCGATGTAGAAAATACAATAGTCCGAAACTTGAAGTATTATACATGTTGTGAAGATGTAACTGATTAGAAACGGACTTTCTAATGATGATTATAGCATATTTATGAGAACGTTTTATAAGAATTTTCTTGACAATTTTAAAAGAATGCCAATACACATCTGTCGATAGATATAAACTTTATTCGAAAGAAATCTATTTGAACTTTCGCAATTAAATTTATTATTTTTATAAAGAAAATCTGTAGACAGATGTCAATTATTAGAAATAATAATACTAATAATATTAGATTGGATATAATTATTTGATGGAAACAAAATAAATAAATCAAAACTAATGTTTTACAATAGATTTTCTTCCTTGGGATACTATCATCAAAAATTCAATGTATGTTATTCTGACTAGCAGCGAGTCAACTAGATTAATTTGATTATTTTTTGCATATTTTAAAAGAAAAAAAAACATACAACAAATGAATGAATTGTTCTGTATTAACATTCTTGAAATGAATTGGTATTAATACTTGTTAATAACATGATATACTTTTTTTTGTTAATTAGTTCGATTTATCATCATAAAAATTTGAAAATATTAAACAATATATAAAATATTTACTCGATGACATTCAATAGAATATTGTTTATATATGTCAGTTTTTGTTTTTCGATAACAATATAATCATGTGTTTGTTTTTTAGTCTCTCTTCTTTGTTTCTACAAATAGTTCTATTCTCGTCATGTATTAATCTTTTTTTAGAGCAAATGATAGAGAGTAGAAAGAAATCTATTTACTATATCATGTCTTTCTCATCCATCTAAAAGATAGAATAGAATGATACTTGAAAACATCGTCTATCGAGTCTATCATCATTAGTTTTATTGTTAAGATTGACTATATTCTGTTTTTTTTCCTTCCCATTTCTATTTTAGTGATAGAACAAAATCCTTTTTCGTTCGAAGAAAAAAGTACTAACACTCAAAATGTCATTTTTTTTTTCTCTATAAATGACAAAAACATCTTCTTGATGTTCTCGACCATTTATCATGTCATTCTATCTTGATTCTGACATGTATTAATTGGTAAGATATTTTCTTATTTCTTAAGAAGATGATTATTTTAGATGAAAAATCTATAGACTCATATGGATGATCGACGATGGACGAATACTCATCGTCCGTCTGCTGTAAGTTATGATTAATTTTCTTATAAAATAAGATTAAGATTTTGTTTAATTAAAATCATCTTAATAGAATATTTAATTATATATTATCTTTATTAGATATAGAATAATATTCCAAAAATAGTTCTTATTTTGTTATTTTAAGAATAAAAATATCTATCGAACATTAATTCATTCTACATATTATAATAGTAGAAAATTAATAGAAAATAAATGTATAAGTTATATAATCTTCATTATCTGATTACTTATAGACTATTCGAAACTGTGTGTGTGTGTTTTTTTTGTTCTACTTAAGAAAATGAACATCATTAATAATAAACTATGTTGGCTTCGTGTCCTTCTAAGATGCGAAAATAATGAAGTGATATTATTTCATGAGCATCTTACAATGTTTCCCATTAAGAAAAATGTGTTTTATATAAGATATTTTAATATGAAAGTCGAAAGAAAAAAGTCTTGAATTCTAACACTCCCACCAATAGAAGACGCCCCATAATTAATTAACTTCTCGAAAATTTTATCAATATATTATGTCTAATTCTTAGAGTATTGAGCTGAAAATCGTTTCAATTTAATGAAAAATATTTTTTTATTAAAAGTTATGGGAATACTTAGATCCTAATAGGAAGATCTTCTATAAAACTTTGTATGCTTGAGCATAACAAAACATCTCTACTCTCTATTGCAGAGATAGAATTTCATAGTTGTGACGATGTTCTATAAAGAAGAAACCCTTTAAATAAGTCTGAAAGATGAAACTAGTATCTATTTAATTGAATTATTATTAAAAATTTCCAATTAACTTTTTTGTTGTAGGCAGTGAATATGATTTTACTGTATCAAATAATTTAAAATTTTATAGACCTTGTAGTCTTGATGAATTAGTAACATTAACAAATTTTAATAAAAAAGAAATTCAAGTTATTTATCAAGGTTTTAAACAAGAATGTCCATCTGGTATGTAGAAAGAAAAAAAGATTTTATATTTATTTAATTAGTAAAAAAAAAAAAAAAAAAAAAAAAAAATTTAAGGTATTGTTAATGAAGAAACATTTAAAAATATATTTGGACATTTTTTTCCATTTGGTGATACAAAACAATATGCTCATTTAATATTTTCAACATTTGATTTACGTTCATCAGGTATTGTTACATTTGAAGATTTTCTTATTGGTTTATCAACATTATGTCGTGGAACAATTGAAGATAGACTTAAATGGATATTTAAGTTATATGATAATAGAAAAACAGGAAGATTAACAAAAGATGTAAGTTTTCAAAAATAAAATATTGAAAAGTGAAATAACGAATTTTTTTTTTTGTATTAATATGAAAAATGTATTCAGAAAAAGAAAAACTAATTTAAATTGAATTTATGTTTCATAAATAAATAACTTCATATTTTAAAAAGGATTTTCATGTGATTGTTTGTGCTGTTCATTCTCTACTTGGTAATGCATCCAATCGTCATACTGATTATACAATCACTCAAGAACATACAACTATAGTCTTTCAAAAATTTGACCAAAAAAATCAAGGATATATTACCATAGAAGATTTTGTATCAATTTGTTTGCAAGTAAAGAAGTTTTATTTCAAAAAGAAAAAAACAATAGAATAAAAATCTTTTGAAATATTTTTAGGATTCAAGTATTGTTCAATCGATTGAAGCTTTACGTATAACTGTGTGATGATTGTATTCATTCCTTTGTTAATGTGTGCTTTTTGTTTTTCTGTATATTAATTATTAAAAGATATAATTTAATCATATATTATATCGATTCTTTTTCTTTTTTTTTGTCTTATATTTAAATGATAAGATAAAATTAGAATGAATTTGTTTATAAAACTATTCTGACAAAGTAAATAAACATGTCTAGAAAAATTTAATAAACTGATTTTGATCATCCATCAATGAATCTTATCTTAAATACACTAAATATTTTTTTCAACTCTCCTTGTTGAGTATAGAATGAAACAAAAATTGAATCTAATAATAATCATGATATAAAATTACTATATTTTCTTCTTTTTATCAAACTTAACAATCATTAAAATAAAAATCTCTTTGAATAATAAATCAATTTTTCAATGCTTCTAAACGTTTTTCAATTTCATCTTCTTCATTATCAACATCAGTTGTACTAATTACAGTTGGATTAACAGGAACATTTGGATATTTATTGACTTTGTCTAAAAATAAAAGAATAAATTTTAATATAAAATAGAAATTTTATTTATTTAGTTATTTCTTACTCAAAAGAATTTCATTTAATACTTTATTTACTTCTTCATCAGTTTCTTCTTCAAGGTCATCATTATCCATAGCAGTATCAATGGCTTCAGTTGTCATTTCACTCATAATACCCATCTAAATAAAAATCTTTTTCATATGATATATATACATAAAACTAATTCTTTACTTTAATTAATTCTTGTGAAAATTGTTGAGAAACTGATTGAAGTTGTTCAACTTTCATTAATTCTGACATTGAACGTGCTACTTCAGTACTTGTTTGCATTACACCAGTTAATCTTACATTTGCTAAAAGATTTAATATTATTAATTATTAACATTAAATTTTTAAATAAATTACTTAATTGATTTTTAACAGCATTATCAATTGTATCAAGATTAGCTCTTGCTGAATATAAATTACTTTTATTATGTCTTATTCTTAAAGGAAGATTGTTTTTATTTTTGTTATATAAAAATCGATTTTATTTACTTAACAATTCCTTTTGCTAATATTCGAAGAGCATCTTTATTATTGTTTAAAGCTTGTTTACGAATATCATTTGTAAGACGTTGAATTTCTCGATCACATTCTTTAAAAAATAAAATGTTTTTTAAATATCATAGAAACAAAGAAAAATTACTATTAATTTCTCGATCTAATAATCGTTTTTCCTGTCGAATTTGTGTACTAACAGCTCGTGACTTAAAAATAGGAAAAAAAAAACATTAATAAATATTAATAAAAGTCAATAATTTTTTTAATTAAAACCTGTTCTTTAGCTATTTCATAAGGAGGTCTTTTATCACGACCGAAGAAGAAACTCATGATGATGAAATGATATCAGTTTTATTTGGTAAAATATAAAAACCAATGATTGTTTATAGAATAACGTTGATTGTATCGCTTTGTTTGTTAATCTTATCAGTTGATGGTCGGCTTTTAGTTTCACTATATTTCGTAACTTCATTGTTTTTTTTTGTAATGTTTATATATGATGTTGAATCATATTTAATCATTAGTCATTCTTTTTTCTATTTTTTTGTTGTTGTTAAGATATTAAAACGAATTTTTAAATAAATAGATCTTATTGAATTTATTATTATTGTAATATTTATTTTCATTTTTTAGTTTATATTCAATAACGAAATGATTTTTTAATTTATTTTTAAATTGATAATTGATTTCATATGAAGGAAATTTTTTTGTTATAGAAAGAATAGTAGCTCCGAAAATTTTTCGATTAGATTTATTTTCAATAAGATTTTTATAAGGATATAATCTTTTAAAAATAAAAAAATAAAAAAAATTTTTAAGCTTCTACAATTCTATTTTAAATTACTTGAAATAATAGAACAAATAACTTTCTACAAATTTAAATGTTCTTCAACTCTCTAAGAAGTTCGTTTTAACCGAGATTTATAAATTTTACGGAAAACACAAAAAAATCTAGCAGAGAACTGAAAAAAAAATGTTTCATTTTGGATAATTCCAGAAAACAAAAAAGTCTTGATTTTTTTTAGAGATTCTCACCTTGAATAAATCTTAAAAATAAAATTCTTTACTCAAATTAGTATTTAGAATAACATTTTTGTTCTTACTAATTAACGAATTTTTCTTCAACTTCTATAGAACATATGTACAAAACAGTCTGTATTTGTCTGAGACGTACGAGGGAAGATCACCAAGTGTGACGCGTCGTTTTGAATCGGATCTATACCAGTTAGTAGAGCTCGAGGAGAGTAGACAAAGCCTAAAATGGTTTGTCCCTATACGCTGTCCTTTTCGAGTTATGATCATTTTACTGAATTTTCGACTTCAAGCAAGGTATATATGGGAAAATTGAATTACGAGATTTTGCCATAGATAGGTTCCATGGTTCTTAGAATGTCCTAAAATTTTCAATCCAAAAGAATACTCTTCTTTTGAGATATCAAATGTTGAAGACACTCACTTTTCTTGCGATACATAATTTAAAAACCCAATATCTGCAGAATTTGAACCTGAAATTTTTAGGACATTCTGAGAACCATGAGATGGGTATAATTTCAGGTCGAAAATCTCGTGATTCGATTTTCCCATATATACCTTACTAGACTCGAGAAGGACAGCATATAGGGACGAACTCTTTTAAGCTTCGTCTAGTAAACCCCCTCCCATAATAGAAGCCCATCCCATATTAGAAGCCCCCCCGTATTAGAAGCCCCCTCTGGAGGATTCGATATGCCAGACATATTAGAAGCCCCCTTATTTTAAAAACTTTTTGAGAGTTTTTTGAAAACATTTTTTAGTATTTTCACAGCAAAACTTAAAAAATTACAAAATTTTAAGGTAAAAATGCGTTAAATTCTTAGTTAACCGTATTAAAATCTCAAAAACTCCTTCAAAACCCTCAAAAATCTGTAAAAAACCCTGAAAATCCTATTAAGGCTTTTGAAAAACTTTAGTACCTAAAACCTTCGAAAAATCATAGGACATAATAGAAGCCCCCTCCAAAAAATTTTTATGCTGGATACTTTAGAAGCCCAGGGGGGCTTCTAATATGAGGGGGGGTTTACCATCGAGCTCTACTAACTGGTATAGATCCGAGTCAAAATGGCACGTCACACTTAACGATCTTTCCTCGTAAGACAATAAGTTCTTCACAACTTTCTATTTACTATGAAGAATTCATATTCATGCAAAAAAAAATATGTAAAGAATCGAATATTTATAAATAAATTTAAATTTATGTTTTAAAGTTTTATTACAAATCATTGAATTAATGATTTGTTTTATAGCGAGATAACAATGTACGCTTCGGTTTGTTTCATTACCTTAACCTTTTGATATATGAAAAAATTAATTCAATAAATATTTCGGTTGGTAAAAAAAAATAATTTCAATTCACAAAGATTGGTTCATATATTTCTCGACGTCTTTCATTTCAATAAACAATTCGATATATTAATTAATTCTTGAACTACATTAATATCATTTTTAGATTTAAAAAAAAAACAATTTCAATGTCAAACAACGAATTAGATTCTTCTATTGGTAGTACATTAGTAACACGAGTAACAGATAATACAGATGTACCAATTCGTAGTTTATATGCAATTCAACCTATAGTTTTAATATTTTTTCGTCGTTTTGGTTGTCAATTATGTCGTTCTTATGCATTAAAATTAAGTAATGAATTACATTCAATATTAAAAAAAAATAATATTGGTTTTATTGGTATTGGTCTTGAAAAATTTGGTTTAGAAGAATTTCAAGCTGGAAATTATTTTTCTGGTGATCTTTATATTGATCAAGGAAAAAAAGCCTATCAAATATTAGATTTACCTTATTTAGGTTGGATTAAAGGTATAACAACTTTATTTACAAGATCAACAAAATTATGGAATGATGAAACAAACAAAATGGGTGTTCAAGGAAATTTAAAAGGTGATGGATTTCAATTAGGTGCTACATATGTTGTTGGACCAAAAGATGGAAAAATTTGGTTAGCTCATCCTCAAAAAGATTAGTATGTATAAAAAAGATTTTTCATTAAATATATTGATATTTTTAATTTTTTGTTTTTTAGTGGTGATCATCCATCAATCGATTCAATTGTTAAAGTTCTTCGAGATAATATACCTGAATTTCGTGAATAAGACAATTTTTTTATAGTTTAACATGAAACTTTTTTTTGTTTTTTATTAAATAAAGTCTTGTTTTATTTATCATTTATTGAATCAATAGATTCTAATATTTACATTAGAAGAGAAAAGACATGTCATTCTTTTTACTGTCTCTTTATGAAAATAAGATCATTGACTTTCATTCATCTATTTCTCTTGAGAACTTACATGACCACCAATATAAGTTCAGCTCATGTAGATGATTTTAGAAAAATAATTAGAAATAATAAACATTATAATGAATATAATTATATAATCATGCAAGTTATATTATCAATTTTTATGTCAAATAATGTCATACAATCCATGAGTTTTTTTTTCCAATGCATTCTTGATTATTGAAACAATTATTTAATTACAATACATTAAGATTCATGAGAACGACATAGAGGTGTTATGTATTTTATTGCATAAAAAAAAAAAAAAATTAATTTCATGATGATGAAATATTTGGTCAGAAAACTAATAATACATGAAAAAGGTTGTATGATCATGTAATTACATCCATTATTGATATATATTATTTCCTATTATGAGCTACATAGGAAAGAGAATACTAATTTTCTTTTTCCGATGAAAAAGAAGATACATTATTCTATGTGATCTAGAATAAAAATCATTCATAGACCTCATGTTCAAAGTAAATCTAAGAGATTAATTCGAGTTGGAATATAACATGAAATGATTGATATTAGTAAAGAATGTACATCAATTTCTTCAAATTTTCTTTTAGCAATATAAGATTAAAGTCATCACTCATCTCTCGGTACATTCATTAGAATTGAACAAAGTCGAATTTTATTCGAACTAGAATCATCTATCTTTCATGTGAATCCAATAAAATCTTCGATCGATAATTAGAACACTAAGAATTGAACATCAAATTTGAAGTCAATGCAGTAATAACGAAGAATTCTATTTTCCAAATATTCATTCTCTATTTGAGAATACTTTTTCATGGTAATATTCAATCGTCATTTCAAGATTTCATGTGTCAATGTCCACATTTTTATTTTTAGATCATTAAACTTATTTAACTTGTTACTACAATAGATTCACATAATAAAAATTATATACTAGTGACATCTGTTGATCATACTATGTCACATGGCTAACAATGTGACTTTCATAAACACAAGGACGACCTTTTATTTCCTTCTTTTTTTTTGGGCGTATGTAATAAAACTTTTATATATTAAACTGAATGTCCCTCATGTTGTTTCGATTTTTATTATTCACACAAAAAAAAGCAGAAGAATTCTTTCTGATATAAGACAGAGCAATGGAATGTAAAGAAATGATATGTCCATAATTCATTGAAATGAATAATTAATTTTCATCAAGCTGTCTTATTACTCCAAATAAGCCAAAGAGCATGAATACAGCCAGGAACAAATCCAAGAATAGTAAGAAGACTAGAAGAAAATAATAGAATTTTTTTATTTGTATTTCTAATCAAACAACTTACATATTTAAGAAAAAATGTGTTGTACAACCAACTTTAATTAAAGCAGCAATTGGCGGTAACAAAATAGCCAAAATTGTTAATAAACTAACAACAAAAAAATAATTATAAATAGAAAATAATAACAACATTATTATATATACATACAGATTGCCAAGAAAATCACCCATTTTAAATTTGGAATGTCAATGTAAGGATTAGAAAATGCGTTATCTAAAAGAAATCAAACTATGATCGTCCTTGAAAGAAAGAATCACTGATGAATAAATGTATATTGGACCAATGACTATTCTTCTCTCATATTCTTTTTTTCTTCTCTATTCTTTTGCCTAACTTAACCATTATAGTCAAACACATCGCTCCTGCATATACACAAGTAACATAACGTTATATACTTCTCTGATCAAAAAAGAAACGTTTATTAACAAATGCAAGGTTAGATAACAACATCAGTTTCCGCTAGTGCTAAAGTATAGTTGGTCTAATTATAAACTTCTACTGTTATCTTCTTATTGATGTTATATAATGGACAAACCGATGAGAAATTCTCTGCTACGAAAAAAAAAAAGAAAGTTGATTGAAATCGACATTCTGTGTATAAGAAAAACATATGCACATTTATAATGAACAGGTAACAATCAATTTTATTTGATGGAATTTATGCAAAATATTCAAGTACGCTACGATTCTCTCATGCTTTTTTTTTCTTTCTACTAGTAAAAAAAAGTTCATTGAGTTCATTTTATGCGAGGATTACGACATTTTTTTTTCTTTATCTTCAAAAGTATAATTACTCATGAAAGGTTAGTTGGTATAGCATAGAACTAATTTATATCGATATTATAAATAAGAAAGTAAAAAAGACTACCAACAGTTTGTCTTTGTAGCTGCGACAGATGATGAAAATTTTTTTCTCTTCTAAATAAGTGCGATTTCAAAAATGAAATATATATTGACTATAATAATAGTTAACGCATTTTTCCTTGATGTATATATATGTACCTATCGATTCGTTTAATAGATATACAAAAAAAAGAATTATTGAGTCGGAACAAATAAACTGGTATGTACACATTAGTTCAAGAGTAGCACTTAGTCATATGTCTTACTCATCGGATATGTATGTGCATGAATAAGGCATAGATCAAGTACGTTTGTGACTCATACTAAGCAATCCTTTTCTTTTTTTGTTTCCTGTGTCCTTGAATGAAATTCAAAGCATTGGTGTACTTTTGTTGTAAACCAATACATGTGAAGATTTATCTTTTTCATGTGACTATTGTATTATAGTTTGTGACTGATAAATTTATCGAAGTTTTTTCATTTGTACTTTTGCACAAGTATTGATGTTCCTTTCAACTAGGTACTCCTTGAATAAATATAAAGAACAAGAAAAATGAAGTGAATGACGAAGAAAAAAAAAAGAGAGAATAAAAAAAAGAATGAACTTTAATAAGGATTTCATTTGTTCTTGTCTTTATGTAATAACTACCAAAAAGTATAATTCGATATTTTTGCATTATAATGCTTACTTGAATATTTATTTTCTATGTTTTCAGATATATAATAAATTCATATTTCAATATTCTATAATTGATCATGGGTGATTTTCTCGGTAATCTTCTTTTGTCAATTTTAGCTATTCTCTTACCACCAGTTGCTGCTCTTATTAAAGTAAAAAATTTTGTTTTTTCTTAATTTAAATCATTATTATATATTCACTTAGGTTGGATGTACAACACATTTTTGGATTAATATATTATTAACTATTCTTGGATGGTTACCTGGCTGTATTCATGCTTTATGGCTTATTTGGGCTGGCACTACAGTTTAGTCTTGTATATATTAATGAAACGATGAACGGACAAAATAATTTTTCTGTCTTTTTTTCTCTCTTTATTATTTCATATTAAATCGAGCAACAAAAAAAAAAAAAAAAGTTTAATAATATTGATAGGAAGGGCCTGATGGTGGTAAAGCTTGTGGTGGATATTGTTGATAAGATGGAGGTAATTGTTGTTGTTGTGATGGTAAAGGACGTGGTCGTTGCATAGCTTGTTGTGCTTGTATTCTCCATTGATTTGAAAAATTTGGATCGTTTGAAGGAATTCCACGACGTTTTATATCTTGTCGATATTGTCCACTATTTGGATCTAATTGACGTTCAATAATTTCACCATTATCACCAATAAAATATCCAACTTGCATTTTATCAATACCACGATCTGGATCACGTAAAGCTTTTTTTGTTTGCCAAACTCCACCTGGTCCCATACGACGTTCATCTTGAGCTTGAAGTACATGTGGACGACCATCTGGTCCACGTGACATTTGTGTAACATTCATTGAACTTACACCAAATACTTTTACATTTGGATCATTAGAATTCGAACTGAGAAATGTTGAAATACCACCAATATTAGGACCACTATGTAACATTTCATTCATCATTCGATTTGCAAGACCAAAAAATGAACCCAACATACCACCACCATTATTAACGCCGAGAAGAGCGTTGTCAAATTGTGGATCATAGAGAGCGTCGTTGTTTGGAATATATTGTTGAATTGGATACGACATTTTTGTTTTTTGTGTAATAAGAAATAATGTACAGTCACTTATTTATATATCGTCGTTGGAAAAAAACCCAGATGTGTGTTGATCATTCAAGAACGATCGAGAATCATTAGTTATTAATACATATTGGTTATGCCTGAATGATTTTTTTCTCTCTGTGTTGATGTATTTTTGTCTCTATCGCTTTTCTCCTTATTTTTTTTCTGTATTCAATGAGAATGACCTTCTTTTTTTTTGCGTTTTGTACATAACAATCATGAACAAAAATAATTGAAACGTTAATAATAAAAAAAAAAAAAGTTCGAATCACATTCATAGATTGTCTTTTACACTGAAGAAAATTATAATCGTACAAGTTGGTTTCTATTTTTTCTTTTTTTCTTTTATTCTTTATTTTTATCTAAAAGTGTCTACTATCTGTTTTGTTCTTATTTTATCTTTCATTGTATAATGTATAGCATCATTCGTATTACTCATCAGATAGTGAAAAATTAACAACAATGGTCAAATGAAAACAAATGAAGATTAGATATCAGTAGGACAAATATTACAGAATCAAGATAGACCATTGTTAAAATAGAAAAAAAATAAACAAAATAATTCGACTATGAAAATTTCAATTACTTTCTATTTTTTTTTTTTTTTTTTGTGTAAATATTGATAAATCGAAGTATCCTTTTAATGAAAGTACTCATAATAGAACATGAGAATGACAATCGAGCACTCCGATCTAGTGCTCATTTCAAAAAAATAAAAGATGAGTGAGTATTTTTTTGAATAATTTTTAATAGAAGCAAGATAGAAAGCTTTGGTTTTCATAGTTGAAAAGAGAAGATGAAAATGTATCGAATGATATATTATAGGCTTCTTTAAGATGTTTTATGAAAAAAATATCGGAAAATTGATTTCTCTTAAAATAAGAAAAACACGAAAAAGTGATTTTTTTTTCCACAGAAGTTAATAGAAAAATCGACTAAGAGTTTCGAATAAAATACCTATAGCTCCTGAATGAGTAGATCTAAAAGTATGGATCTTGCGCAGTTTTGTAGATCTTCATTTAACAGTTCAAATGCGTATCTGATTATTGAAAAGCGGCCTTAGTCACCTTACGCAGTATATTGATTTTCAAAAATGTCGATTTAAATCCTTGAAAAAACCTAGATCCAATTATTCTGTAATTTACAATTTGATGCGTCTCCATTTCCTCTTTCCAACGGTGAAAACCGCAGCTCTCTGCAGTCATTCTGTCAAAAGTTATTCAAAAAAAATCCACCCACCTTTTTCTTTTTAAGATGAGCAATAGTTTTTTGTTTATTCTAGTGGTTTATGTCGAATACTCATACTATATTATGAAAATAATAAATTTGAGAACGAGAGATATTACGTTACATTTTATATATATTATAGAAATAAACTTTCCATATTTAGAAAATGAAGTAAGGCGAAACCAAAACACGCATTGATAAAAGTAAAACATTTGTAAAAAGAAATGAATATTAAATTATTCATAAAAAAATCCAGAAATATGATAACAAATCAACACATAATTAAGATCATTACAAAAGAAAATAAATAGATATTTTGAACTGATCAATGTATTTCATTCAGTAACGCATAAGAAAAAAAAAGAAATTAATTATCTATTGTATGATGCATAGAAACTTAGAAGCGTTTGTTTCTCAAGAGTCTTTGGAGCTAAGTTATGATTGTTTTATTGAATATCCGATCGAATTTTATGTATATACTGAAAAATCAAAAACCAGTATTTTAACATGAAATTTTGTTCATGTCGAATGACCAGTAAAATGTCCTGAAAGTTCGTTTGTCGAGATATTTAATTTCCAAAAAAACAAAATGGTCGTTTGCCACAAAAACCAAGTTTATTTAAAAATTCAATATCTCAATAAAGAAACATTCTTGTCTATTGAAATTTTGAATATATTCTATTGATCATGATATCTGTCGATGATCAAAATTTGGCATTGAAAATCTGTTTTTTTTTTGGCGTACAACTAAAACGAGGGTTTCAAATGTCCATGGGGATGAAGCCTCTTATATTTTTTCTAATCTAATCAAGACGTCCTTGTATGTACAATATAAGTTCAAACGGCGGGTATTAGTTCGGATGGCTTCCTCGTTAGAGAAATGAACTCTTTTAACGTTTTCTACAATGTCTAACAAGCAATACTTTCGATAGCTTGTTTTTTTGTACTAATATTTATCTGCAACATCGAATTTACAAATATTTCCTATAGTAAACATAGGTTTTTTTTTACTATTCTTCGGTATTTTGAACATTATACTATTTTTCATCGTATAAAACGATAAACTCAGTTTTTAAGGCGCTCGTCTATGATTATCAGCGGTTAAACTAGCATATTATACGTCTTTTCAATATAAACGAAAGACAAAACTGTAATTTTAAATACTTTCGGTACAAATAAATAATACGTATGAGAATAAAGATGAAGGTGCAAGCGAAGCATTGAAAGAATTCATTATATTTTAACATTACTCTAAACTGCAATCATACTATTACGCCTTCATTATTTTGGTTAAAACTAACAATAATATATTATTACACCTGAATTATGTTATATATAAAAAAAAATCTGCGGTTACTATCTAATTGACAATACAGAATATTATAATTCATATTAAAAAACACGTGGTTTGTTTTTATGATTGTCGAAAGGTGTCACTTTACAACGACCTCAGTGGCTTCATTTCTTTTACTCATAAACAATTATTCATCCCCTCATTTCTCTTCTGTTCTGTGTTCCATTTTATATGCTAATTTGTTTTTCATCAAATTTGTCATGACAGAGTATATGCTCGATCAGAGCACATGATCTTAAAAGTCAATATAACATCATTCTCATTGTATGATTAATTTAAGAGATGTTATCTGCTATGGGATAGATATTAAGAGTTTTCTAAACTTTATTTTACCTTGAATAACAATGTTTAATTTACGCTTTAAATTGTTGAGTGTTCAACAGTCGTATTAGTTACTCTGGTTCGTGCATAAAATATTTGATAAATTTAGAAAGTTAATTTCTATTCTTTTCAATAAATTTTCATGGATTATGATATTAATTGTATTTACTATTGAAACTTTTGTTATATCAGTTATTATTTTAGTTATTAAAGTATTGAGCATGATAATTAAAATGATCATTTGAATTATGGTGATTCTAGTCTTTCCTATTAGACTTGTATCATGAGTAAATTTGCTTTGTAATGATTTTGTAGGATTTTTACTTACTATGTATCAACATTTGAAAAGAAACTAGACCTTGAATCTCTGTCAAAAGATAGTTTAGTTATGTTCAATCTAGATGATATCAAATTCTATACTTTGAATGAAAAGGTAGAATAATATTTGCTAGTGCCAGACGACAAATAGAGGTTTCTGTAGGATGCATCGTTATATGCGATAGCAAGCATTGTTTTGGATGAAAAAGATATTTACTGATGCATTTAACTGAATAGAAAAAGATCTCGAAATTAAATCGTATGACAATTACAATGTAATCTATTCCTAAACCCTGTAATAAGAACTAGAGATATGAAAATTATACTTAATGCAGTCAGAATTCGATATTAAATTTTGTTTTTTATTATGTTATAGTATCATAAGATAACATTAATGCGATAAATATACTGAAACTGTAAACAAGATAAGTCATTAAAATAGTTATTCATTTGCATTGGATTAATGTCTAGGCAATTTTGACTAGGCTTTTATTGTCATATACTTAGAGCATACCAAAAGTAGTGAGCCTGATATCGTATTTTCGTATAGATCGCTTGAATAAATTTTCTTTTTTTATAAACAGATAGAGTGTCTTTCGCTTAATTTTTCTATGATATTTGATCACTATTCAACTAATATCATAACAATAAAATTTCGATAAGAACTGTTTTTGTTGAAAACTAGCTGGTACCACTAGAAAATTATGGGTGCGGCACTTTTGTATTTCACTTTATTATCACATAATACGTTGTATTGAAAAAAATAAAATATACCATAAGATCGAGCGTGAAAAGCTCTACAATTTATAAAGGATCATTTATTTTATAGTTGCACTTTTTGTTTTCAAAACAGACAAAACTATGAGTGACTAAATTGCGACGTTGCGAAAACGATATTGTTTTTTGGTAAAAGACGAATTCGGTTTCTTTTCTATCTCATCCTTTTATAATTGTTCTTTCTAAATTGTAGAGCTTTTTACGCTACATCTTATAATGTATTTTGTTTTTTAAAATAAAACATATCAGGTAATAAAAAGATGAGATAGGAAAAACCGAATCCGTCTTTTACCAAAAAACAATTTCAGTTTTGTAACGTCGAAATTTAGTCGCTCAGAGTTTTGTCCATTTTGAAAACAAAAAAGTGCAATTATAAAATAAATGACCCTTTATGAATTGTAGAGCTTTTCACGTTCGATCTTGTGGTATTTTTTTCAACACAAGGTATTATGTGATAATAAAGTGAAATACAAAAATGCCGCATCCATAATGTTCTAATGGTACCAGCTAATTTTCAACAAAAACAGTTCTTATCGAAGTTTTATTATTATGATATTAGTTGAATAGTGATCAAATATCATAGAAAAATAGATCGAAAGGCGCTCTATCTGTTCATAAAAAAAGAAAATTTTTTTCAAGCGGTCTATACGAAAATACGATATCAGGCTCACTACTTTTGGTATGCCCTAAGTAAAATCGACACAATCATGCGGCAGAAAAAAAGATGATAGAGATTAACAACTTAAAAATTCCACTATATTCATGATATGTTGGAGAAAAATCGATAATAATTGATTGATTAGTGTCAAACATGTTTCTCCTTGACGTTGAACGACTAAAGTATCGTAACCGACCAAGAACTGATATTAATTTTCATGTATCTGATCATTTCATTACCAATTAATCGACGAACTAGTTCTCAAAGATATTTTCCCACAGAAGGATCTTTTCGATGCAAATACAGAAAATTATACAATTCTCTTTGATCAAGATAAATTTTTGATTAAAAAAAAACTGACTGCAGATAGAGAATGAGCTCGAATAATTTTGATTAGTGTGTTTCAGACAGAAAACGAAGAACTTCTTTCATATGCACTGAACTAATGCTATTTTTTCTTTGCACCTTAATTTTCTATACTAAAAAAGTACAAAATTTCTAAAAATGCGTTAAGTTTGGCATTAAAAGGTCTACATAATCTTCACTATTTACTACCAATAAATCCAGTTTTTGATGCGTTTTAATTTGGTATAAAATACATTTACGATATCATTGATAATTTAAGTTGTAGAGGAGGGCGTAAAGGTTATGTGACATCCTGTACAATCACATTCTTTCGATTTCACAACTATAATAGAAAAACAGAGGACTTTTAGAATCTATATTTGAAATTTTAGAAAGACGTTTTTTCTATCTCTTTTGACCGTTTGCCCTCAAGTACAAAAATTTCTTTTATACTCGATAATCCAATGAATGACATTATACATTCTGATTGATATTCAAACAAACACGTCATCAATTAGTGTTACTTTGGAAAATATAAAATCGATGAAGCGAAACGAGAAGAACGAAAGTGCACATGTACATCACAATAAAAAAAAACAATGTGTCGATGGTTTGCTTATATCGGTGAAGAACCTATTCTTCTCGAAGATATTCTCATCAAACCAAAACATTCAATTATTAAACAAATCGATGTACATTTTCTTCCAAACCTTCATGTTATTTACGATCCTCATTTATATCGAAAAAAATTCAGCTCAGATGTAGCATCTGATGAACATGGTCCAAATCATTTCACAAATGTGGATGGATTTGGTTTAGGTTATTATACTGGTGTTGCTGCTGAGTTCAATAACGATAATATAAATAGACCATGTGTCTACAAGAATGTTCGTCCACCACTCAACGATCTCAATCTGATTTCCTTATGTGCTCATACGTCATCGAAATGTGTATTTGCACATATTCGTGCTGCTACTAGGTTGTCACCAATAGTCGAAACAAATAATCATCCGTTTGTCTTCGGTCGATATTTGTTTATGCACAATGGATCGGTGGCGAATTTTTTGAACATCAAGATTGCTCTTGTACAAAAGTTATCTGAAAATGCTTATAGAAATATATTTGGAACAACAGATACGGAACATGTTGCTGCACTTTTCTTTACACATTTGGGAAATGATTGGGATACAGAATTACCAATGGAAAACCTCAAGAATGCTATGATAAAGACTCTTCAAGATATACTTACTTTGATTCAAGAGAGTGCAAAGGACATGGATGAAACACTTCCACAGAGTAATCTTAACTTTGCTGTGACAGACAGTTGTCAATTACTTGCCACTCGATTTTCGTCAATGGACGAGTTTGAGCCTCCTTCTTTATATTATTCGACTACAGCTGGACCTACCTTTAATCGAAAATTTCCAGATCATCCTGATGGAAAAGAAGTTGGAAAGGAAGCAACACAAGCTACTCACAATCACGGAAAACATGTTATTGTAGCAAGTGAACCAAGCACGTATAAAACAAAGGATTGGTATTTGATACCATCGAATTCATTCATTCTCATTGGCAAAGATTTGAATGTTGTAATTGAAAAAATTGACTTGTAAACTTTTTGAATATGTTCGTCTTTTGTTTTTTATTAAAAGAAATACAAGCTTTAACTCTTTTTGAAAAAAAAGTCTTAATTTACTTTTGGTTTCACCTCGATGTATATCAGCTATGGATGTCAGAGATATTGCAAAATCCAGAAAATTTTAGGCAATATGGGATAAATTTTTATGAAAATAAATTGGCAGGAGTGTTTGTCAGAATTGAAACCAGATCGAAGGATTTCATGCTTTTTTTCTAATTTTAAGGGCGCTGAAGCTATCACATTTCGCTGCTTCTTATCTATTTTCATACTGCTAACCAACTAAAAATACGAGTTTGAAAATTTCCAGTTCTAATCAAAACTCCAGCTCTGAATTCTGAACTCACACTTTCTCATCATACAGTTGGAGCTTTGAATCATGGTGAATAAAGTGATTATGTCCAGAAAAGCATTAGAAGTAAAACTATATCTACAATGTTCATTTTCTCGCTTGAAATTTCGAACTTATTTTCTGGAGTACTTTTAACCCACTATTAGAAACTCTCAATAGTTGATAGTCATTTGCAATAAAGAAAACAATTATCTAAGTATTAAGAAATCTAGAAATATGAAATTCGGTATAGAAATCGAATCTTTTAGCTCATTTTATCTTTCTGTCGATAGTAGTAGCCCTCGTACGAATCGAGCTGTGTTAATGAATGATTTCGATTAGAAAAAATCGATTTATCAATTCTTGTAAATAAGCCGTATGTTTATTAATGTTCCGAAGGTTAGGAAGTCGTAGAAAGTCCTATAGGGTACGAATGAAATTTGCTCTCGTAACTTAGTAATCATGTCAATCGGTAAAATATCCTATTTGGTAGTGAATTAATTGTTTTAAATAAAACTTTTCATACAGAATTAAAAAGATTCGATACCAGTACGCTCTAAATCAAGAATTCATTCAACAATATTGGAATCAACACACTTTATGTTTAGGAAATTGTCTTCGGTGAAAATCTACTTTGAATGAAATACATTTTCAGAGAAAATTGAAAGTATTATTGTGAGTCACTATTTTATTTATTGACGTGGAGACTCATTTGTGTAGTATTCTGACACTTTTCAATCCAATTTAATTATATTTTTGATAAATTTCCAGACGTTAGACGGTTAATTGAGCAATGTCTATTTGTTATTCAAATGCAAGCGAATAAGAAACTCTTAGCATCATTAACGGTTATTGATTCAATCTGAGTGCACTTATTTTAATATGATTATTTGCATAACTATAAATGCATGGACATATATTTGCATAAATATCATTCAAGTGAAATCAAATAAAATATTATTTACGTTGGACTACATAATATCAAGGACAAACATGTATTATTTTCTCGGATGAGCAATAAATTATATATATATATACTAAAAAATATGAATATTTGTATTCAGTAAAAACTAGTTATTTCTATTCTTAATATTAATGAATATCTGTCTGTGATTATTCTACGATAGTGACATGTTATTCTGTGGTGGGAATGTGAGAATCAGTCTTCTATTTGCCTATACTTTCACAACCACACTCGCACTTTCCTGATCGATGATGGCATCGAATGATCAATTCCCAAAAGTAAATCTTCGTGTTCCTGATCGTTGTATTTGTACGAAAGTGAATTCATCGCTGACTAATTTTCTTCATTTGTTTTCCTTTAGAATTCTCTGTTTGTGAGCATTGATTTTTCTTTTTTCTATATAAGAAATAGAGATCACTAACTATTTTGTTAGAACATCTTGAAAGTATTCAACAAAACAAAAACAAAGAAAAAAGATCATAAAATTGTACATGTACGCGAGACAGGCTTTGTCTGCAACTGTTCCAGTTGATTGATCGCAGTGACAAAGCGAACGAATTCGTTACGATATAACGTTGCACTGTACCGTTTTGAGAATTGTTCTCGTATGTCAAGGTATTCAGATTGCCAGTCTGGTTCAAGACACCGTCCATAGAGAAGTAGTTCGGTGCCGCATTGAAAATCATATATCTCCTTTAGTTCACGACGAATTTTATTAGCATCGAACCAATCGGCGATATCTTTAGAATTCCATGTTTTTATTGACTTAGAATTAGGTACAGGTACCGGCGTTATTTTATGATTGGATTGATTAGAATCCTCATGATCATCTTTTGGCAATTCTTGATTCGGTTTGTCATTCTCATCAGATTTGATTTCAACAGGAGAGACAGTTACGGATACTTTCGAATCCTTAGTTTTTGAGCTTTTCTCGCTCTTATCTTCGAAAATAAGTTTAACGAGATCTTTGACCGTTGGTTCAAAAGGCTTTTTTCCAAAACGAATATATTGTGGACCGGCAATGCGTACACCCAACCAACCACTAGCCACGAAATCTCGTTTTACATATACAGGAATAAACCGTTTCTTAAGCGAGTCTTTCGCGTACATCACTTCTTGGCGACATGATTTGCTGTCTTGATAATCCTTTGTCATGAGAAAAAGTATTACGTCAGATTTTTCAATTGCTTGACCGATTTCTTCCCACAGATCTTCTGTGTGACAATAAGCAAAGTCAACCCAAAGATCGAAAAGATTCTCTAAAATAGACACAAATATGTTTTCACTCAAAGAATCCGATATCGACTGATTATTAAATTTCATGTACAAACACTGAACAAACAAACAAACAAAGTACATTCTCCTTAATAGAAAAATTGTATAAACAGTAATTTTTTTCTTATAGGATCAAGCATTTTCGCCCTGCACAGAGCAAGAGCATTTTCTGACAGATAGTATCGACTCCTGAAAAGTTCTTCGTTACGACGGTCATACAAGGGCTACCATATGTGAATAATTTCAAAAAGAAACGCATTCGATATTTTTTGTTTTTTGGAAGCTTTCGGTTTATTTAGATCGCAAGTTCATAACTATGCAAAATGTTCTGATTTCATTTTCTACTAATTTAGCTATAGTTCTTACGTTTTTGACTATAGAATAAATATCTCAAAGAAGAATTTAAGCTTAAGATATTGATGACAGTGTCACACAACGATGAATCGCACACTTTGTCAGAAAGTCCAGACTGAAAGGTAGTGTTATTATTTTCTATTTTTCTTTATATGACATCAATCACTTCTCCTTATTTGCTACTAAAAGATATGCCTTGAAATATTCTACAGAATGGTATACATATGTCAACTTATGTAAGTAGCTTTTATAACCTTGTAACATGCTATAAAAGCGTTTTGAAAAAAAAATGCACATTATTTTCTGAAGGATTTTGATCGGAATATTTTTTTTTTGTATTATCTTGGTCGCTTTTATCAGTAATTCTAGTTGATTATTCGATCAAGTCATTCTTAATGGAGCCAATGAGATTGTTTTGTTGGCTAATTATCTTTGAGTTCCAATGACGGCGATGAAAAACTATGGCGACGTCAAGTGGAAGTCGAATTTCAACTGTCAGCTAAACGTTAATTTTATTTATACAATATTCAATAAAACTTCAGTGAAGCATCTTTTTTCAGTTGATTTATCAAGTTAATAATATTCTGTTGGAGGTGATTGAGCTTATCAGTAATATAAAATTTCAAATCACGTTCTAAAGTCGACTTTGAATTGACGTCACCATAGTTTTCCGCCTCCGTCATTAATATTCAAAGGCAGTTGACCAGTTAAGCAATCTCATTGATTCTGTTGGAAATGACATGACGCAAACAATCGACTAGAGTTACTGACCAAAGAGGCCAAGGTAATACAAAAACATTCGAATCAAAAGCTTTCAGAAAACAGTGCTTGTTTTTCAAAAAGCTTCTACAACCGGTTATGAGATAAAAAAAATTATTTACGTTAGTTAATATATATATATATATATACCGTTTTGTAGAGCATTTCATGCTACATCTTTTAGTCAACAAATCAGCAGAAGCGATTGATACCATGCGAAGAAAAATAGAGAATAATAACACCGCTCCGTGTAAAGAATCAAATTCCCTTCAATTTCTTAAACAATAATACGATAATATTATTGATAATTTATACACTAAAACAAAGAATTAGAAATCTTTTTAAAGTTTCGTAGTGTGCGCGAAACTCCCTTTAAGCTCTACATTGCATCATTTTTTTCGGTGTATAATTATTTAGAAACTTCTATGACTAGAATATCAAATTTTTGTTGTTTTTGACTGACATATAGTTTTTTGTATTTGATGCAGAAAGAAAAAGTGATCTAATGAAGTAGAATAGGTGTACCCCAAAATAGAGTTTACATGGCAATCCTGGAACATACCTTTTTCCAATGCGTCTACCAACTGATGGCAAAAGTCAGTATCCGCATGCGAATAGCTAACCATGACGCGCATTCGTTTGTTTTTCACTGTGGCTGTTGAAGGACGATTTGTTTGAACGACCACAGTAGGCAATGGTTCCACTACGCGAATTGTTCTTGCTGAACTCAAAATAAAATAGATCACAGTTAAGTTAATGTCGATTGATGCATCAGTTTTCTAACCTGGATTATCTTCATCGAGATTCCACAAAATACCAGTGGCTGCTTTTTTCACCGATGACATATGTTTCGGTACATATTGTTCGACCCAAGCTTCTCCGTCGTCATTGACGAGACTTTTGATAGTGATTAGAAACTTCGCATTCGATTTGAGTTCGTCAACATAATCATCATGAAATGAAATACTCCAAATGATGTTCATCAATGCTGTGAGAGTTAATTGATCGAGTTCGTCGTCATTGGCGAGAGCACCTCGAAATTGCATCACCAGATCACAGAAAAAGACGATTTTCGAAGATACTTTCATATTTTTAACTTGTGACTCCTTGATGCAATAATGTACAATGTCGTCATGGACGAAGAGTTTTGTAAAGACCACTAATGGTTCACTGATATCGAAATCACCATATTTATGATTTTTTTTCCGTGCGCTATTGACCGTCATCTGCATGAGTTGATCGAGCACTTTTCTAAGTGATTTGACATCACTTTTGCTTTCTTTCGGTTCCGTTA